TTGTTCACGTTCTAAAGTTCTATTTTACGTTCACGGAATAATTTTCAAATGGGGGGCAGGAAGGGGAACATGCCGCAATGTTGGAGTCGGTCCCGGAGGAGACTCAAGGGCAGGGGTCTTCCAACTTGGCCCTTCTAGGACTTGTGGACTTCAGCTCCCAGAATTCCTCAGCCAGTGTGCCTGGCCGAGGAATTCTGGGAGTTGAAGTCCACAAGTCATCAAAGGGCCAAGTTGGAAGACCCCTGGCTTAAATCTAACAAACAAAATGGAGGCTGGCTGAGGAATTCTGGGAGTTGAAGTCCACAAGTCCTAAAGGGGCCAAGTTGGAAGACCCCTGGCTTATATGGTCCATGCTGGCTGAGGAATTCTGGGAGTTGAAGTCCACAAGTCTTAAAGCAGCCATGTTTGAAGACCCCTGGCTTATATGGTCCATGCTGGCTGAGGAATTCTGGGAGTTGAAGTCCACCAGTCCTAAAAGGGCCAAGTTGGGCCTGCTCAAGGGGCTTCCCGCAGCCCAGCCCCAGACTGGGATCCCAAGGCTACTGGAAGGCTGCCCCCCCCGGCCCCTCTCCCCACTGACCTGGTGACTTGCTTGTGGAAGTCCGTCAGCTGCTTGTGGGTCACCTGAACGGCTCCCCCCGTGGTCTCCTTCGGCAACCCTTTCAGGGAGTTCTCCAGCCAGCGGCAGAACGTCTGTTGCCAGGATTGGGGGGGGGGAAGTAGAGAGGTAGTAAGACCCTCTGAGTGACCCAGTCTCCCTGCCGCCGCCCCCACTCGTCGCCCAGGTCCCTCTGCCAAAAAGGGCATTGGGGTGTTGCAAATGAAGGGGGCAGTTAGAAGGCTTGGTGCAATTCTTTCTGCCCCCTCTGGGCCCATCTTGAAGCCCTTCCCCGTGTATCTGCTGCCTGCCCATCTGTCTCTCCATCCCTCCCTCCCTCCCCCACCTGTTCATCTGTCTATCCCTCCATCTACTGTCTGTGCCTCCATGCAACCATCCATCTGTCCATTCATCTCTCTGTCTGTTCATCTGTCCATCCCTCCCTCCCCCCAATCCTCTCTCTTCTAACTATCCATCCATCATTCATATATCATTTATCTATGTATCCATCCCTCCTTCTACATGTCTCTACCTATTCTATCTATCCCCTATCTATCTATCCATCCATCCATCCATCCATCCATCCATCCATCCATCCATCTACTTATCTACCTATTTATCATCTATCTACCTATATCTACCCATCTATCCATTCACCCACCCATCCATCCATCCATCCACCCACCCGTCCATCCACCCACCCAACCATCTGTCCATCCATCCACCCACCCGTCCATTCATCCATCTGTCATCCATCCATCCACCCACCCATCTGTCCATCCATCCACCCACCCACCCACCTATCATCTACCTATCTACCCATCATCTATCTATCTATCTATCTATCTATCTATCTATCTATCTATCTATCTATCTATCTATCTATCTATCTATCTATCTATCTATCTATCTATCTATCTATCTATCTATCCATCCATTCACCCACTCACCCAACCACCTACCTACATACCTAGAGGGCTGGCCTAGTCTGGGGGGGGTGTTCTCTTCTCCCCTACCCATGGGCTGCTCTTCCTCCATCAGGGAGGGGCAATCCACCTGGAGGGCCCGCACAAGCCTCCTACGCCCCTTACCGGCCTGTCGACCTGCATGATCTCCCACAGCACCTCGGCCACGTCCGGTAGGGTGTAAGGCGGCAGGCAGAAACAGCTGGTCTGCAACAGCTGGCTCACCAACTGCTGGCCCAGCTGGGTCATCACATGCCCGATGAGCTCCTTGCGGGCCTCAAAGTCCTCCTCGTGCTGCAAACGACACGCAACGGAGTGACCTTAGGCATTGGCCAATCCCCTGCCTTCTCCCCGGGCAGCAGATTTAAGAGTCTGGTCCTTGGCTAAAGCCTTGTCTAAAGAGGGGCACGTAACTAAGGCAGAATACCAGCAAATAGCCCGAATCTGCAAAGATGAAGTCAGGAAAGCTAAGGCTCAAAATGAACTAAGACTTGCAACAATAGTCCAAAATAACAACAAAAAAAAAGAGCTTCTTTTGACACGTAAAAAGAAAAAGAAAAAAAGTCAAGGGAACGACCGGTCCACGAATGGGAGAAAACGGCAAGAAGGTGACGAGCAACAGGGAGAAAACGGAAATGCTTCACTCGTTTTTTGCATCTGTCTTTACACAAAAGCGAAAAAACTATCCAAACGACCAAAAACAGTACCGTAAAAAAAAACAGTTTAGGAAGAGTACAAATAGTCCTCAACTTACAACAGTTCGCTTAGTGACCGTTCGAAGTTACAGCAGCACTGAAAAAAGTGACATGACTATTTTTTACACTTATGACCCTTGCAGCATTCCCCACAGTCACACGATCAAAATTCAGATGCTTGACAACTGACTCACCTTTATGACTGCTGCTGCGTCCCTGGGTCACATGATCCCGTTTTGCAACATTCTGACAAGCAATGGGGAACCGGATTTGCTTAACAACCTTGTTACTAATTGAACTGCTGCAGTGATTCACATTCACAAATGTGGCAAGAAACATTGTAAAACGGGGCAAGACTCACTTAACAAATGTCTCACTTAGCAACATAAATTTTGGCCTCGATTGTGGTCGTAAGTTGAGGACTACCTATACAAGTTCAAATAGGCGGGAGAACGGTAAGAGAACACCTGTCCACCTTTAGACGAGTTCAAATCATCAGGACAAAAAAAAAAAGGAAAGAGGGACACATAACTAAGACAGAACATCAGCAAATAGCCCGAATCTGCAAAGATGAAGTCAGGAAAGTAAATGCTCCGAATGAACAAAAACTTGCAACAAAAGTCAAAGATAATTTAAAAACAAGTTTCTTTCAACATATAAATAATAAGAAAAAAGTCAAGGAAACTGTCGGTGCACTAAAGAGAGAGGACGGCAAGGAAGTAACAGGCAAGCAGAGAGAAAGCAGAGCTGCTTAACTCATTCTTTGCATCGGTCTTCACGCAAAAGAGAAACTATAGCCCAACCTACCAAAAACATAACCGCAAAAGACAGACTAGAAATAAAAATTAAAACAAGCAAGAAGAGAGTTAGAGAACACCTGTCTGATCTTGATGAATATAAATCACCGGGATCAGATGGGTTACATCCCAAGGTTCTGGAGGAACTGGTAGGCGTGATCTCAGAACCACTGAATTGGATCTTTCAAAGATCCTGGAGCACCGGGGAACTACCGGAGGACTGGAAAAGAGCTGATGTAGTCCCCATCTTCAAAACAGGGGGGGGGAGGGAATGGATCCAGGAAACTATAGACCTATCAGCCTGACCTCAATACCTGGGAAGATTCTGGAAAAGGTAATCAAAGCGACGGATCTGCCTAAGGACCCCTGCAAGTTGGATAAGCAGGCCCGTTTCCAAAACCCGAGGACGGCTGCCGCTGTGCCGGCGTCCCTCCCTGTCACCTGCCGGCGCCCGACTCACATCATTGGACACTCCGGTGTGGATGAGGTCACGCAAGAACTTCATGACGCTGCAGTTGGCGTCCCGGTGATCCAGGGTGGTGGCGGCGATGGCCCACTGCAGGATGGGGAGGATCACCTGGCTGCGCAGGAGGGTGAGTGGGCTGCGTTGGATGAACCTGTGATGGGAGGGGGGGAGAG